ATACTCCTTTTGCCATTCGCCACCAATGTTGTACTTCACCTTCTAACATAAAAACTGCAAAGGCCACCTTCCTATCATCAGAACATTCCATTACCTCGAATATTTTCTCTATATGCATAATCCATCCCTCGGCTTCCAGTGGGTTTACAACACCCTTTAAAGAAGGTGGGTTCAATTTATTAAATTGTTTGATATTGCTCCCACCATTTCCCGTAACTGACAGCCTGGGTGGATTGTTGTTTTCCATCTGATGTTGCATTAGAGTAACCATATTTTCCAAGGCTTTGTGAATTCCTTCCATTATAGCTTCAGCTATTATGGATCTTGACTTCGTCCCGGTCTGTACACACAATAAATGTGATTTTAAATACATTCTTTTTAAATTTCCTAAGAATCTTAAATCTATCGCTCTGATACCATAATTGTCACGCCCCAAGAATTTACAATACTGATATTCTTGAGATGTGACAGTCAAAATATATATACATCTCTTGAAAGGACAAATTTACAATGGCGAATTCTTACAAAGTAACAAAAAAAAGTTTAAGCACAACTACAATATCTTTCAAAGTTGATCCTGACGAGCACTCAATTTGAAACCACAGTTATCTTGAAAAAAATGTTTACCATAGTTTGATGAGTTTGGCTACTCAGTAAGTGATCATCATAATCCTAAAAATAATCGTGGTTGAAAGATATCAATGTTTTCAAATAGGAGATCTATTAACAGAAATGCATGAACAGTTTCACTTTCAAAAATGCATAATTAAGTATAATCCGAATAATTGAAATGCGTATAACATTTTAACGGCAGTGCATAATTCAAAGGATTTCACAAATTATCCTACTGGCTTCCCAAGTAGGTCACTTATATACCCCATCAATATCTTGATGGGTCCACTTAATCCCTATCGGCGTCCCAGATAGGTCCAGTTAATCCCTGCAGGTTCACTTATACCTCACCGGCGTACCGGATGAGTCCACTTAATCCCTACCGGCGTACCCGAAGGGTCCACTTATACCTCACTTGCGAACCGGATGAGTCCACTTGCATACTTAAAGTATTTTTAAATCTCTTTAAACATTCGAAAGCAGCAATAACATGTACGCAACATATCACTGAAATTATTAATATGAATTTCATTGAAACCATTAATAACAGTCACTTTCAATAACATTTAGAAAATAACCAGTCAAATATTTTTGGCTCAAATTTAGAAAGGTAGCAGTTCGTAAAGACATTCTAGCATAATTGCCAATCTAATATGTATAGAAAAACTCTTATAGAAATTCAAGAATACGGAATTATCACAATTAATGGGATGTCAATTCGTAATAAACATTTCGCAGACAATGCTATAATCAATTGCAAAAATATTAGTTTTCAAATAATAAGGCAGTCATTTGCACACGAATTTTACAATGTCTAAATATTAAAAAACAGTAGAAAGAAATCTCACAATTTTACTAAAAGCAGAAATATCTCTAATAATTTTACAGTATCTAAAATTTTTTAACAATAGTCAAGGAAAATAAATAAATTTATTTCTAAGAATTTACAGCATTTAAAATTTCTAACATAGATAAAATATCACTATTTTATTAAACAAATTATTTTTCGAGACAATGAGGTCACTTACGCATAAAATTTATCGTGCCTAAAATTCGTGATAATAGACAAATAATTATTTCATTTTAAAAAAAACGAATTATTCTTCAAGACAATGAAGTCACTTACCTATAATATTTGAGAGGCAGCTTTCGATAAAAAAAATTCGGCTAAAGGAAGTGGCAGATGATAAGAAAAGTGAAGGGTAAAAAGATATAAAAGTAGTGATGGTCGCTAAGGACCATAATGCCTATATGGACCATCATACTATAAAGAGTTTTTTTTTTTTAGAAAGTTTAGGATTGTTACAGTTTTTAACTTGAAATAAAAAACTATTCCATTTTCTCACTCATTGTTTGTCCAAATTAGTTCAAATTACAATGTTTTTTGAGTAAAAACCAAAACTCTCTATGAACGATTTATTTGGCCATTGCCCCTCCATTTTCTTTTGAACATGTTTTTTAAATTTTGATTTTGATTTTATTTACATCTCGTATTTGATGAAATGGAATATTTGGTTTCAATTTTATCATTTTGTGTATTTTTTATTTACTCTTTGCATTTTCCCCTGTTCTTTTTTTTTTTTTAAAAATAAATATTGGCCAAGCTAACTCGGCTGGTTTGGCCGTTTGACACATGACTGGTGGGCATCCAATCCAACACAACCATCCAAGTTTTTAAACACTGTATCATATAGATGCATTGTTTTTTGTTGTTTTGCTGAATTTTACACTCGGCTTTCAGCTGTATCATCACACAATTTCCAAGTATGTATTCACCTGGTGGGCGCAATTATTATTATTATTATTGGTAGGTTAGCTGAGTTTTGAACCTTGGACGTTTTATTGGAATTCATTATGGTATGAGGGAATCCTGTAAATATATTCTCTGTAGATTATTGCATTCCTTTGCTGATTGTTTTCATTCTTATTCTGGGAACCCGAAATTAGATTTGTTTGATACGTTCAGTATTGAGACTTGAAGTTACGTGTTATTGGAATTCATTATGGTCTGAGGGAATCCTGTAAATATATTCTCTATAGATTGTTGCATTCCTTTGCTGATTGTTTTCATTCTTATTCTGGGTGTTTGATACGTTCAGTATTGAGACTCGAAGTTTCCCCACTGGACTTTGTTCTTCCTGTCAATACTCTTAGTGTTTTAATCTTTTACTCTTCTCAAATGTTGCTGCCATCCTATACAAGTCTCTATAGCAGGCTTATTTTTCTATCATGTAAGAAATAGCTTTCAACTTTTTGGGGATATATATATTTTTTACTATGTTGATGTTTTTATGGTTTCAAAGATTGATGTTGTTGGTTTGGGCAGGTCATACTGTTGATCTTGGCAGCCAATGCAGCAGTTGGAGTAATTACTGAAACAAATGCTGAAAAGGCTCTAGAAGTATGTCTTCTTGTTTATACAATGGAAATGAGGGCTTTTTAAATCTCTCCTAAGGTGTCAGTTGGTTCTCTTTTACGCTTCTTATGTTGTTCTTAATGTGATCATATAGGAATTAAGGGCATACCAAGCTGATGTTGCAACTGTATTGAGAAATGGTAAGCTTTTCGGTTGCAGACTGGAGGGCCAAACAAGTGCATATGTTAATTTTGCTTATAGTTCTTCTTTTATTGTTTTGTTGAAGAAAGGTTATCTTGTATTGAATATCAGAAAATTACATAATTAGAACAAAAAAAGATGCCAGCCTACAAGTTAGGTGCTCAGAGAACAAACTAGAGGGAAGAACACGAAGAAGAGAAAAAGAATGGAGGGAGAAAGAGGGACAATTTAAATACAGCATAATGCAAAAACTTCTTAGCACACTGCTGGTGCTAAAACAAGTAACACACTTTCGGTGGACTGTTGGACATCCTCAGATTGGTTATGGTCGATGAGCAAGCAAATAACCACTGTGGATCTGTTGCTCTATCTGCTCCGAACACTGGTACATCAAGATGCAGCCTTACTTTGGTAGCGGCTAGAGCTGCACTGTGGGCCGATTACGCGCTTGTATCTCAATAGACAAGGTAAGATCGTAGGTATATAGTTCCCCCGAGGGGTCAAGCCATGTATGCAATTTGGCAGAGGTCAGCAAAGGTAAAAGTGACCCCTCGGCGAAGGCTATCCATTGCAGTCCCAACTTCTGTTCGTAGGTATGTAGTTCCACTAAGGGGTCAAGCCATGTCTGCAGTTTGGCAGAGGTCAGCAAAGGTAAAAGAGACCCCTCGTCGAGGGCTATCTGTTGCAATCCCAACTTCAGGAGTTAAAACTTGGGCAGGACTGTAGTGACCATCCCTAAGGGGCCAACCCTGAGGAGAAAAAATCTTCCGTGAAGAAATTGGCAGCCAAGGGATAGCAGCAACTAAGTAGAGGGTCTTCAGTGGAGAGGCGAGAGGGTCTTCAAGAAATTTAGGCTTGGGCGGTACTGTCTTCGATGAGTACTGCAACTTCAAAAGGGCAGCACAGGAGGCTAGTTGCTCTTCGGTAGTTGAAGCAAAGGGAAATTGAAGAGGTAGTAGAGATGGGGAAGATTATAAAGGCTAGAAGATAGAGAAACTGGGTCAATGTTTAGATGGGGGGAGTAGGGGAGGAGATGTGATTGTATTTTAAGAAAGGTCAGATGAAGGGAGAATAGAGAAAAAGATAGTGAATGTTGATAAGCAAGAGGGAGAGGAGATGGGGGAATAGGAGAGGAAAGAATGTGTGGATGCAAAAAAGGAAGAGAGAGACAGGTGAAGCTAGGTGAGCAAGGAGAGGAGGAAATAGGAACTAAGGAGAAAGAGAGAGAAAGGCGGGAGATGAGGAAGGGGGAATTAAGTCACAGAAATGCGTACCGTTCTTGTTGCAGCCAAGCTTGGATCTTCATGTCAAATTCTGTAGCAAACGTAAGGTTCCTTCTTTTTGATTCAGCAGCCAAGGCTATTGGATTGGGTGATGGCTTCCGCCAGAAAAGTGGGCATGCGTGGAGAGGTGTATGGGGTGGGTTATGGAGAGAACCATGGAAGAGATGCAATGGGTGATGACATCGGCCAGAATGGTGGGCATGCATGGGGGTCTTAGAGAGGGTGAGGTGTGAATAGAACAATGAAAAGATGTGATGAAGAGAGAAAGACCTGGCAGTAAGTTTACCCTGGTTAAAGAAAGTCCCTTACGAGATGGTATAGATGGGTTTAGAGAGTGAGTGTAAAGAAGTGTAGAAAGGTAGCTAAAGAAAGTACTAAAAGGTTCCATGAATAGGCTTACAAAAACAACCATTTCCTTAAATTTTTTGTTCCTTTTTTTATTTTATTTTTTCACTTTTTCTCATTTTTTTTCCGCTCTTTTTCTCCTCTTTTTTTTTTCCTTCCCAGAGAAATCAAGGTTTGTTAACAAGCCAAGTATTGCTTCCTCCCTGGCCAGTCTGTCAGCCTCCGCATTAGCCTCTTTGTATATGTGGGTAAAAGACACCTGAGGAAGGGAATTACATAAGTAAAAAATATGATATCTCCATGGAGGTAATCGCTGCTATGTGGCCCAACTGATGATGTCGCGAGAATCTGATTCCACTTGAATTCCTTGTGCAGCAGGTCTAACAGAAGCACCTTGTTGAGGCCCACTAGTAGCCTCTGCATAGGTCGTGTCTTGGTGTCCTGTAAACTCTGAGTAGGTCAAAATGGTAGATGAATGGTCCGACAAGATTTCTCCAATGCCCAAAGGGCCAGGGTTACCTAAAGAGGAACCATCTATATTGAGTTTGAGAAATCCAGGGGGGGGGGGTGGGGGGAGACCAGTGAGGTTTCGGTCTGTTTATTTGGGGTGCGAGGTGTAAAAGGCTAACCCAGTTGTTTTTTTTGGAAATGAGAGATAGGGAGGGCAGCAAATATGGGAATGGACTTGGCCCAGAAAGCTATAAGTTCAGTTAGGGAATAAAAAACAACTACTATAGTTTTTTATATGCTTCTGAAGGTTCTGGAATTTCTTTCTAACCACAAACTCCTAAAGACATGCTACAACAAGATGCCATAACTTCCTACCCTTTTGGGAAAAAGGTGGTGCAGAATATATTTGGAAAAATTGGGTTAGGTTACCCGGGGTGACCCATTAGAGGCCAAACAGCTTGAGAAGAGAGGCCCAAAGGCATTGAGCCACTTCACAGTGGAGGAAAAGGTGGGGGATAGTCTCTTCTTCTGGGAGACACAGGATGCAGCGGTTGGGGAAGGCAAATCCCCTTTTTTGGAGTTGGTCCAAGGTAAGGATTCTGCCTTGAAGTAGCACCCATATAAATGCTTGGACTTTGTGGGGTATGGGTAGGGCCCAGGAGAGGTTGAGTAAGCCTTTGGAGTCTGGGTTGGGTAGAAGAGACTTGTAGAAAGAAGCCACCGAGAATTCATCCGAGGGGAAAGGGGACCAAATCAGTGAGTCTGGTCTCGAGAGAGTGCTAAAGCAGTTTCCTAGAGATTGTAGCATAGAGAGGAGTGTGTTGGCTTCTTGATCGTTAAGATCTCATCTGAAGAATGGAGTCCAGACTAAATTAGTGCCAGAGAAGGTCGCATAATCTGTAATAAGGGCAGCTGGGTCTTGAGCTAATGGGAATAGGGATGGGTAGGTTTGAGCAAGAGGTGAACATCCAAACCAGATATTAGTCCAAAACTTAATTCTTATACCCAGATTGAATTGAGTTCTGTTGGTGAAATCTAATTTAGAAGATGAAATGCTTTTCCAAGCACTTGAGGATCTGTTCCTGGGGGATCGAGGCAGCTAATGGACCCCATTTATTCCATATTGGCTTGGATAACTTCTTTCCAGATAAGGGGGTGGGGGGAAGTAAATTTTCACCGCCAAAGTAAATTTTCACCGCCATTTACCCAAAAGAGCTCGGCTCATGATTCTGAGGTTCTTAATTCCTAGACCCCCAAAAGTTTTTGGGTTGCAGATTTTATCCCAAGTTACTAGATGAGTTTTCCTTGTGTCATCTACCCCTGACCAGAGAAAATCACGCATGAGTTTTTTCAGTTTTTGTATAATCGAGATGGGGATTTGGAAAAGGGACATGCAGTAGATAGGAATGCTAGCTAAGGTTGCATGAATGAGGGTGATTCTACCCCCAAGAGAGAGGTATCGCCTTCCAGGAGGCAAAATTCCATGTGAATCTCTGTATGAGATCATCCCACATGTTTTTCCTTGGTTTTCCTAGGCAAAGAAGATAAGAGGATGGTATTATTTCTGTGGAGCAACCTAGGTGAGAGGCCAAGCGAGTTAGAGAGTTTGTGTTAACATGAATGCCCATCATCATAGTCTTGGAAAGATTTACTTTCATTCCAATGAGTAGCTCAAAGGTTCTTAAGAAGCGCCAAAGACAATCAACCTGAGTTGGATTGACGTCACAGAAGACGAGGGCATCGTTTGCGTAGAGTAAGCGGGAAATTATGGGACCAGAGGAGGAGGATCTGAAGCCCGAGAGGGATCCACTATTATAGAGTTTGGAAATAGTCTGGCTGAAAAGTTCTCCTATTAGAGTGAACAGAATAGGTGACAGAGGGTCTCCCTGCCTAAGGCCCCTTTGTGCTTGGAAGAAACCTTCAGGGGAACCATTGATGAGGTTGGAGAAAGGATATGCATTCAGAGATCCACTTTCTCCAGATTGAACCAAAGCCCATTCTCATTTGGATGGAATCTAGGATTGCCCAGTCTACCCTATCATAAGCCTTTTCCCAATCTAGCTTGCTGATAAGGCCTGGTTGTCTTGAAAGGGATCTAGAATGGATAGCTTCATGGGCTATCAAGGCCCCATCCAATATTTGTCTACTTGCAACGAATGCAGACTTTGTTGGAGATATTATGGAAGACAAGACTAGCTGAAGCCTGGATGCCAGTACTTTGGCCAGTATTTTGTAAGAAGAATTAAGAAGGCTGATTGGGCGAAAGTCTTTCAGTCTATAGGCACCCTCTATTTTCGGAATCAGGGCAAGGAAGGTGCACTTGTTAGCTGAATTTATTTTGCCCATGATGTGGAATTCTTCAAAGAAAGCTTGAAGGTCTGGGGCAATAGTATCCCAAAGGTTTTGGAACATAGCTACAGGGAACCCATCGGGTCCAGGGGCTTTATCTTTCGGAAGATCAAAGGTAGCCAACCTAATTTCTTTCAAGGAAAATAGCCTTTCAAGATTGGCCACAATTTCAGGGGAGATAGCTTTGAAAGAGATATTGGCTAATGGGGGGAGGGTGGTTTGGTTTGGAGAATAGGTTAAAAGTTTCTAATAAAAAGACGACTTATGTGGCAAGGATTGGTGAAGATTTGGGGTCCAACTCTGATTTGAGTAATCACATTACCCCTTCTTCTGGAATTGGCTGTCTTGTGGAAGAAATATGTATTTCGGTCACCTAATTTAAGCCACTTGACCCTAGAGTGCTGGTACCAGTAGATCTCCTTCTGTTTTAAGGTTTGGGAAAGGTCGAATCTGGCTTGGATTCTATCTTGACTCTTTAAGTCTGATAAGGGTCTTGTTTCTTCCAGATGATCGAGGTCTGAGATCAAGGTCGAGAAGGACCTGATCTGAGATCTGAAATTAGAGGGGATGTC